ACCGTACCCCCCAATGTGTATACAATCCAAAACAGTCCAGTGGAGCCTGAGTGGTGTCGCCTTCTGACACACTTCCGGTGATGTCAGGGGGTGTGGCATATGCAAATACGTTATGCTAATAAATTATGCTAATGAGCTCCTGCACCTCTTTTTCTACGAAATGACCCCTGCCTTGGACTATTCTTAATTCTGTCTCAATAGCTCCTGTGCTACTCTCCTGCCCTACTGCAGGCTCCCTTTCCTTCTGAATGTTTAGCCATATTGACCTCTTCTATAGCGATGGGAATTACTCATTTTGCCACCATTTTTATAGAGAGGGAACTCCAAAGTCATCAGATAACAACCAATAGGAACAGCATGTACTATTACGGATACAGTCACTGAAGAAATTAGCAGGCATAGGCAGGGGTCCTTTTGTGGAAAAAGACGTGCAGGAGCTCATTAGCATAACTTATTTGCATATGCCACACCCCCTGACATGGCTGCTTCTTGCTTTGATTGAAGGCTGCTGGGAGCAGGTAGTGGGGCTTGTTGCTTGTGCCCACCCCCTGGGCTCTTTACTGCCAGAGCTCTGCTCCTGTGCGCTCCTGCAGGAAATGACCCCTGGGCATAGGACACTAGATGGGCCACCCCAGCAACCCACACTTAGGCTACACTTGCTCAGGGTGACGTTGCTTCTCTTCTTCTTTGCATGCATCAAGGGACTTCAGCAGTTCTGAAACATTGCAATTAAATATATTTACCTCTTTAGTAAACAGGGCTTCTAACTCCTGCTCATCTAGAAAACCGTCATTATTGACATCTATATAAAAAAAAATAAAGCACATGCAAATATAAATGCACAGAAAATTTAGTACTCATGCCCAATCGGTGCCAGCCAGAGACAACTGCCTACAATAGTTACTAGCATCTGTAATATAATACTGGATAAAGTGTGGCACTGAGATTTCGCATCCATTGCCGGATAACTGCAAAACTTCTGCTGGCTATGAACAGGTATAAGAAAGTACAACCAAAATGAATAAATGACACAGCACCTTTCCTCTGAAGAAAGGCTGAAGAGGTTAGCGTTTCTCTGTTAAGGAAAAAAAATGACTGAAGAAGAACACAATAGAGATTGATAAAATTATAAAGTTACACATAACTTGGAGCTACTGCTTTAAAAATATGAGAACTTGGGGCACCTAATGAAATTGACAGGCCATCAGGTCTTCACATAACACACAATTAATTCACTACAGTAGGATGGTGCCAATAGCTACTAACTTAAATAGAGATAAACCAGATCCATGGACGATACGTCCATCAATGGTATTAGCCATAATGTCTGAATGTGACCTCCATGTTTTCAGGCACTGTCATACTGTCATTTGCCAGAAGTCAGCAGCAAGCAGAGGCTATGGTCTCTGTGCCCATTCTACAGGCTGTCTGTGTGTATCTCGTATGCCATTGTGGAAAACTGGTTCTGGTGAGATGAGCCACTGGTATGGTCCATCAGGGCTCTTATGTTCTTAACTCCCACACTTGGAAAAATGCATGCACTGTCTTTTCTGTATGAAAGAAAGCAGAAGCGTTGAAAATCCTGTTCTCCAAATCCCTACTCTCCCCAAACGGGATTGTAAACTAACAAAATGTTCATCTTAATAAACAAATGACATTTGGACACATTTTCAAACTCACAAAACTGTCAGATGGTCTGTAGGGTGATTGGGGCAAAGGAGGGAGTGCTTGATACAAACTGCCTGTCAGCAAGCTGCCAATTTATGTTTCATGACCTGTACATTACTGTATGCGATACCCTCCCCCCCCTTCCCCTGACCTCCGAGCGCTCATCTTTGCTGTAGTGCATTCCTTTCTATGAACACTAGTCTCGCTTTGATGTAATGCTATCTTTGGCCAAGGCCACAGGTGGCGAAACCGGCTTGGCTTTGCTTGTTTTAATGAACTGAAGTGTGGGAATAGATTAAGTGTTTATCATTCAAGAGAACGTTGGTTCTCAGGGTTTCGGCGCGAACTGAGCAATGCAGCACGCGCGGGGGAATCATAGCTATTGGGCCCAGTGATTATGAATTAGCTTTATCCTTCCTTGCACACCCCATATTCGTTATTCTGAACACTGTCTATGTTCCAGTACTTCATGGCTTCAATAAAGTAATACCTTCTACAAGCGTGTACTTAATTGCCAGCTGTGGGTCTGACACTGCCTCATGAACGTCATGTCAAGCTTGGGCCTAACTTTCGTTTCCTTAAGTTCTGCTTTCCTTTCCCTTCCCTTGTCATGTTAAATTCCTGGGGGGGGGGATTGTTGGAGTGTATGGGGGCAGTAGCCATAATCATTCCTCAAGTTGTGCCCCAAGAGTTGGTTCTCATGGGATTGACCTTGAAGACTCTCTGTGCCTAGGGTAGATTAGATAGGGCACCATATATTGGTCTGTGTTGCCATAGAAACACTGGGGATTAGGTGTGACGTATGGGAGTGTGGAATTTTTTGCTTTTAGCTATAACCTGTATGTTCCCGTGGTTTTCTTCAGACCTAAAAAAAGTTCTCGTACCTACAGCAAGCATATCTCTAATAAAGCATTTCACTGCCAATAGTGTGTGTGTGGAGAACGTTTTAGCTGAGGACCTGACACCTCCCAAGAGAAGCTTCCCAAAAGAAACAATGGAAACTACTCCCTAGTATTATATAAGCAATACAGGAAGACATTTAACTGTAAACAACATCAAAATGAACACCCACTCAGTGTGGCAAAAATTGCCATTAATTTCCAAAGCATTCTGATAAACACTGGCTGGGTAAGAACTGCCAAGTAGAGAATAACAGAGAAAGCAGGTGGTTGGGATTCTGAATTACTTTTCTTTTATTCCTTACAGTCACTATACTGAGCACTGCTGACTAGCCACAAAACCTACCATGAAAGAATTTCCACAGCAGTAGGAACAAGTAGATATTTTGCCAAATATAGGAACAACAACAAGCACACAGGGAACATGGCTAAGTTAGATAAACCCAGAAAACACCGTGTTGAAATAATAAACACAATATTCACATGTCCTTATAGCTAAATATATTTGCTTTTTATACACAACATCAACTCTAGTGTATTGTAAACACTTTCAAACGACAACATCACATTTCAAACACTTTCAAACTAAGTTATATAACATGAAGAGTCCAACTGTCTTCTTCCTGATGGAGGATAAATACCAATGTACAGTTATTTGTACAGAACAATGCAGCAACCTGTTGTACATTTCCCAAGTGATGAACCATCAGGTACCTGATTGTGTATAAAAAGCAAATATATTTAAATATAGGAACAAAGCAACTAGTTCTATAGAATATTTATGAGTCTTTTCTCCTTAGGATATACTTTTTCATTAAAAAAAAAGCACAGCAGTTGAATATAACCATAAACCACACTGAAGATCAAATGCATTATTCAGAACATTACAAAAACCAGCCTGTTCAGGCACTGGTTTCATTTGGTATTTTCTTCCCTTGCAGGGCTAGTCTTTCAAAGCCAAATCAAACTACACATCCCAATCCTATCTGATGAAGGGAGCTTTGACTCTCGAAAATTCATAACTCAAAAATCGCATTGGTCTCTAAACTGCTACTGGACCAGAATCTAGCTATCCCAATCCTGTGCAGGCTTACTTAGAAGTAAGGCTTCTTTGGTCAACAGGACTGGTTTCTTCATTATCAGTATTCTTAAATCAGGAGAACAACATACCTATCTGGTGATTTCCGAACACCTAGACCATTCTGCAGTTCTAAGTTGTTAAAATCCCCCCCCTCCTCGAAATCTTATATTTCTTACCATGCAACTTGAAAAATGTCTTTGGGTCAAAGTCATTAGGATCTAGCCCATCTGCTTCTTCCCATACCTCTTTCAGTTGGTCTTTGCTTCCCTATAAATTGGTAATCAAAAGTACATAGACATGTCTTGTAATCTGGTGTTAAATCCATTTCATCTTTTATAAGAAAGACTTCAAAGATCTACTTAATCCTTATTCACACACAAAACACATCACTTTTTATCCAGAGTCCACTATAATGAGATGCAGTCTAATCTCACCATCTTTAATATGAGCTTTTACAATTTCACCAAAAGTATGATAAAAATGCAGAATAGATGTCCTACATCTACTGTTAAGAACGATAATTCTGCAATGCTTCCATACTCAACTGACAACTATTGTGGGCTGAAGGAGAGGAACTCAATCAGTCATCATTGGACACAGGAACGATTATTGTGAAGCTTACCCTGCAAACTACTGAAATGTTCAAAGGGAGCACAAAATGTCTTCCTGACACCCTTTGGGAACACGTTTTCATTAATTTAGATTTTACCAATAAACAAGAAATGATTCATTGGATGGCAATAAAAAGAAATTTAACACCCCTCAAAGTACTGATCTTTAGTATAACTAGTCTTAGTAAAACCAATGACAAAAATGCTATTAGGTCAACTCCAAGTGCATCTGAATGCTGTGTTCCACATATACTTCTGTATTTTTCATACAATGTAAGCGGATAGAGGTTACTACCAGAGAGTTTAGTATAATAAAGTATTGATACAAATAGTACTCTTACTGGATGGTTAACTTTGGGGTGCTCCCCATGCTTTTTCTTCATTTCCTCATACTTAGATTCCTCTTGGTGTCTCTTTTCTTCATCCAGTGTTTTTAAGTATTCTCTTCTTTCATGTTCTTTCATCATCTCATACCTCTTAAATTCATCATGACGTGCCTTGTCATAATTTTCCAAGTCGCTTGTGGCCTGCAAATATGAAACTGCTTGTACTGAAGCAGGTAGTGTTGTTTGAACGAAGTCGACCATTGCGCTATGTACACAAGCTATTTCTCCCTCCAAACATCTGCAGCAACAATTTTTCTCCCCAAAATATCCTTGATATTGAACTACTACTACTTCCTAAACCCTTTCCCTCCAATTTACCCATGAAAAACAGCATGTACAAAATGAACAAGGTAAAACAGAATAAGAAGCAAAAGGTGGGTGTGGCTGGATGAGTACACTTCTGGTAACACAGGGGTGTGGCCTCATAGGCTAATAGGCTGTGTTGTCAGGGTGTGGCCTAATATGCTAATGAGTTCCTGCTGCTGGGTATGGCTTATGCTAATGAGTTCCTGCCGGGCTTTTTCTACAAAAAAAGCCCTGGCGCTATGTACACAAGCTATTTCTCTCTCCAAACATCTGCAGCAACAGTTTTTCTCCCCAAAATATCCTTGATACATTGAACTACTACTATTTCCTATACCCTTTCCCTCCAATGTACCCATGAAAAACAGCAGGTACAAAATGGTTTGTTTTATTTAAACGATTTTGATGTTGCCTTTCCACCTAAATAGAATCCACATTAGATGGCAAAGTATTAAGTGTCACAAGTTCATTCTCTGTTTCTCACAAACAAATTTGAAACACCAACAAGAAGTGGTACTGTTTGGTGAGGTCCATGTCAGTGTACAGGATAAACGCAGTGGTACAAAACAATGACTTTCCGTGCCCCTAAATTAAAATTCTCTAGACTGATGCCAGGATTCTGGGGATCCTTTGCACAGCAACCAGCCCCCACCCCAACCTACTGATATGTAGAATACTTTCAAGGGCTAAAGAAACATTCTAAGAAGAAAGAACAATATCATCTAAATTCCATCCACTCCTCTGAGGAGCACCACTGATCAAGCATGGCATCTATTTGTGAGAGTGAGCCCAGAATTCTCTTTTTCAAAGTACCCTGAAAAGCAGTGAAATGGCGCAGTTGCTCACTTCTTAGTGTCAAGCAGGGCTTTCTTTCCTGGGAGAATGTGCCGGAACACAGTTTCGGAACCTCTTCAACAAAATTCTTTTAAAAATATTTAAAAGTTCATGAGCTTTCAGTATACAAAATGAAAACTCAGTTTCCCTCTTGAGAGTTCTGGCACCTCTTTTTTAAAAAAAGCCCTGGTGTCAAGGCAAGAAATTCCCCCAAATCTGAAGGTACAAAAGAGGGGGGGGGTTGAAATACATGTAGGCATGCTAGCCTCCAGGTGGGACTTGGGGATCCCCCAGAATTATAGCTCATCTCCAGACTACAAAGATGCCAAAACATTACATTTAAACAAAACACCTTGGAAATATTGTGCATGTCTACAGTATAAGAGAATTTTTGTTCAGTGCTGCCCCAAAATTTCCAATTTTTCTACTGAAAAACTGATGAAGTCCTTAGACTTTATAATGCTGTACAGTTGGAATAAGTGAAATGCTTCGTAAGACAAGATTTTTCTTACTCCAAAGGAGAAAATAGTTTATAGGAGGCGTTGTTCAGTGCTCCACAGAATTTCCCAGCTTATCCATTGGAAAAGTTGAGTGCTCAAACTTTTTCATCCTATACATTTCGACTGTAAAAGCTTTGCTTTAAGAAACATTTTACTTAATCTTCTGCAGTTCCACAGGGCCTGTAAGACGGAGCTCTTCCGCCAGGCATTCGAGTAGGAGCCGCCACTGCCACCACTACCACCGCTCCATTATAGAGCGATACTGCCGGAGGGCCGGGTACCATCTATTAACGGCCCTAGCCCTCCCCTCTGTTACGCAAGATGGTGGGAGTTTTCTATTCTTGCATTCTGATGGAGTTGATTTTTAATCTGTTTTTATCTATTTTATATACTGTATGCACTTTGTGCCTTGTGTAAGCCGCCCCGAGCCCATTCGCGGAAAGGGTGGGGTATAAATGCAACGAAATAAATAAAAATAAATAAATCTAAAAGAGAAAATATGCCATGGGAGTTTCCCCCCCAATGTCCCCAATTTTTCCATCAGAAAAACAGAAAGTAACTGATTAATTATTTTATGGCAGTGTGTGTAGTCTAGCCAGGAGATCCTAAGATTGTTTGGCAGCCAGAATTTCTAGCTCTTTTAGTGTTATGCATCACTAGGTGGCGAGCTAGACTTCTTTTTAAGGCAAGGGATGTTTCAGAGGCGGTTTGCCATTGCCTGCCTTTGCATCACTGAAAAAGGTCCTCACATCTCTATATGCAATGTATCCAAAGGCAGGCTTTTGATTTTAAAGACAGAACTTCCACCATCTCGGCTAGAATTCTTCTGACATACTAGCTTTCCATTGATAGGCAGGCACAGAACCACAAGGGCTTTACCACTTTTTATTCTGAACATGCATTATCAGCCCTAAGAGAGAAGCATCAGAACTGTTCTTTGGCAAAAAGATCCAAACAGCCCAGCAAAGACTGTGAATATTCATTCTCCTCCAGGAGCCAGAAAATATAAAGGGCAGTTCAGCACCGACTGAAGGAACATTAGATGGAAAATCAGTTCACAGCGTCCTAGAGAGTTACGCTGTGCACCACCAAAACCCCCCACCATATAACAAAAGGGAGGGGTTCTCCTGGCACTGTACTGCTCAAATTCAGGATTAGATGAGAAGCTTCCTGCTCTCCTAAATCAATAACATTAGCAGTCAATACTATACGGCAGGGCTATTTTGGGGAAGGAACGCACAGGAACGGAGTTCCAGCTGGCTTCAGAGTTGGCCACACCCACTACAGCCAAACCCTCTGCGTGCGTGGCTACAGAGGGAAGGCCTGGAGAGCAAACCCCCCCCCGGCGACTCTGAGGTGGGCAGGCCAGGGGGGGCCTGGAAGGATCAGGGAGGCATTTAAATGCCTCCCTATGCCTTTCCCAGCCTTCCCTTTCCTTCAAGGGGGGGCTTGCCCGGGCAAGCCAAAGGAAGGCCTAATATGCTAATGAGCTGTGTTGTCAGGGGGGGTGTGGCCTAATAAGATAATACGTTTCTGCTGTTGGGTGTGGCCAATTATGCTAATGAGTTCCTGCTGAGCTTTTTCTACAAAAAAAAGTCCTGCTATAAGGCCTCAAGGCTTCAGAAGAGTACAGAGTGTATTAACAAAATGTGGCAAGCTTTAATAAGATTAACCAGTCGCTTAATTGACATTTAAGTTAATTAATTGGTTGTTTTTAATCAGTGGGCCTGTGAGTGAACAGCAGAGGCTGTTCTGGTTCAAATATATCAAGAAAGAAAACAAGGAAAGCTGGCTTTTCCTCCCCTTACTGTTTCAGCTTTTGTTCATTATATTGTAAATTGCTTCAACTTCCTTTAACATTACAGAAATAATCTGCACATTAACTTAAAAATATTTGTTCTTTTAAAAGCTATTTAATTGGTTATAGTTAAACAGAGCTAAGAAGAAAACATTTAGGAGGCTTAGTCGGCACAGATCAAAACAGAACTAGATTTAAAGGCTCTAAAAACCTATCATTGCTCAGATTGTCAAAAGTATGAAAGGCAAAAGAGGCAGACTGTGTTTAAACATATGTGAATGTCTTCTGCAGCACAATATTGCACTGCTGAGCCAAATGAGATTCTCAGACAGTGACTTCTGATGTAACTATGAAAATTATTCCGAGCAGGCCAAGGGAAAAAGTAGTCGTTGCTTTAGAAAAATAGAAAGCAAGCATCTGGTGAAATAACTGCTCTTTACACTCACAGTTCTGATCAGCATGTCTAAGTCTTTAGCTTCAAAAGTGTGAGGGTTCTGGTGGTTGAGATGCTCAAACTGCTTGAGAAGAGATTGATGGTCTATGCCAGAATCTGAAAAAAATCCACAAGCAAGAAGAGAAATGTTCAACTGGATGAATTTGATATATGCACAAATATACCTAATGAGGTAGGCTTTTAAGGCTTATTTTACAAAATGTTTCTGGTCTGACACCTCTTAAAGTCTATACCTACAAAGGCACAGATATATTATGAGATGAGAGGTTACCAACACACAGGACACTATTATTAAAATGTTTAGAAATGACACTGAACTACATTTAGAAATTACATTGAAATTCAAAGACAAATATTAAAGATATTTTCACCAACCTTATCTAACAACTATTCTAAAAACAGAGAGTACTCCATCTTTCTGTGTTATCTCTCTGAGGATGTCAGTCACAGCCAGTGTTCCCTCTAAGCTGAGTTAGTGTGAGCTAGCTCACAGTTTTTTAGCCTCTGGCTCACACATTTTTGTCTTCGTTCAGGTAGGGATGGCTCCAGAGCATACAAATTTGTGCAGCAGCCAAATCGCTCGCTCACAACTTTATTGCCGGTAGCTCACAAAGTAGAATTTTTGCTCACAAAACTCCACAGCTTAGAGGGAACAGGTACTGGCGAAACGTCAGGTTTGACAATGCCAAGACCGCGGCCACACAACCCGGAAAATCTACAGCAGCTAACTATTCTAAAACTTCATCAACTGAAACGGGCATACTCATTGCAGGTTGGGGGGATGGCAGGCCCCCTCCCCAAGCTCTTTTCACAAATTCCCCCCTCCCCACTGTTCCTAATCACACTGACACCTTTAATTGTGATTAGGGCAAACCAAGTTCCCTTTTAACCAGGGTGTTCAAAACCAGTTTCAAAGCCGGGTTGAAAGGAACCCCTGCCTTAGTTGTGCTTAAAAATCAGTTGTGAAGGGAAGAGCTTAAGGAATTCTCACCTAGGAGGAAAGGGGGGGGGAAGTGTGCTTGTTTCCTGTTATGTCCACTGACCAGGGGCCAGCGAATACCCCAGAGCTTGACTCTGTAAGAACAATGGGGACTAGGCTCCTAGTCTCTCCACTTGGGAACCAATAGGACCGTGGCGGGAGATTTAAACCCACCAACGGGACCTAGGTGTGTGTCCCCAGGTGTGTATATAGTTGGCCAGCCGGCCGTTAGTCTTTGTCTTGGTTGTGTACCAGTAAACCATGCTGATCACTACAGCAGTCTCAGTGGTTTCTACATGCGTCTAACCCACTACACTTCATTCCCAGTCACTTACCCATGGCTAAGCAGTGAATAATATTACATCTACATTGGGATCCACAACCTTTTTGAGCCTGTGGGCACCTTTGCAAGTCTGATACAGTGTGGCGGGTACAGCCACAAAACCACTACTGCAGGAGGTGGAGCCAGCCACAAAATGGGTGTAATCCCTGCGCCATAGAGGCAGTTGCTGCCAAAGTAATGTTTTTAAAAATCTGCACAGCCAATCAACTCTTCAACAGCCAATCAGAGGTCTTGCTGGCCAAAAGCTCCACCTGGCCTCGCCCACTTAAAAAAAACCTCGTCAGGCCCCACGGGACCCCTGATACATCATAGCTTTCCCATAGCAATTTTATCATGTTTTCAGTGGGAGAACCAGGACAGTTCTAAAAGTTGGTGGGTACAGGTGAGAAAAAAACACTAGCCTCTGCTGACTAAGAAAACAGGTGCAATTCTTTTTCTTATGCAAAGAACAATGACATTGTTTATAAGCATTTTCTATGCAGTGCAGCAACAGGGAACTACTTCTCCAATGATGCTTTTTTCATTTGTTACTCTGAACATTACAACTGCATAAACGCAGATGTCAATACTCCTTTACTATTTATTTTATTCATGTCTAGTGATCTTCTAAAATCCCGCCTCTCAAAAAAAAAAATAACTAACTGTGGACATTTTGCAAGATGGATCGTACACTTTAATTGCATGACCGGTACCATACTTTAAATGAAAAACTGAACACAGTTTTATCCTAGAAGACATTACACCACTGTTATGCATGTTACGTGGCAGGAGATATTTGCAAGTTATCCGGTCAAGCATGTTAACCAGTCCTTTGTAAGGAAAACAGATTTGCTGAACTTAGAGAAATTTATTTATTTATTTGTTCAATCCATACCCTGCCCTCCCCGCTGGAGCAGTTAAGACCTCCCATAAAAAAATAAAAATGTTAAGACTCCCATAAAAATATGAGAAAATCTCCTTAGCTAGTTTCTTTCTTTAAGCCAAGACAAGAGATGAATCCCTAATCACTCATTCTGTCTGTTTTCTTAGAGCTAGTTTGTCTTGTTCTCCCAGATGTGCAAGCAGTGTAATCTGATAAAGGAAAACACACACACAGACACACACACAAACACTCCTTTCTACCTGTTATCTACGCTTGTGATATCAACAAGGGGAAAGCAATAATTTGTTTGCTACATAGATACTCTGCCCATTTTTTTTTCCACTTTGCATTCTTACCTTGAAATGAATCCATTTTGGCTTTAATCAGCATCCTTAATCTTGCAACCTCTTGTCTTTTCAGTTCATCCAGCTTTGTTCTCACATGATGGCTAACTAAATCTAGCTCTTTGCTTAACTTACCACTCTGGAAACAAAGCAAATAATCAGAAAGACACTTGTGGTTACTTTTCTAGAGGTGACTGCAATACCGCTGTATGCTCAATACATTCATGCAAGGCCGTCATATTTCACAAATGGCGTATTGCAAATGGAAGAAAATATTAATCCATTTCTAAATATGAATGTAAGTATATAGCAACTTCAAATGCTGCAATTCCTCTGCATGAAAGGGCTTCCCCTTTAACTTCAGGGTTAAGAAAATACAGTTTAACACGTGGAATGCCAATGATATACACAAACTGTACTCCTCCCTGCTAAAGTGCACAAGGAAGCCATCCATGTAAAAACCATCATATTGGAGTTCCCTCATATTCAAGGAACTGCTTATTTCTGTTCTGCACAGAGAGATATAAGCCCACAGGTCTGCTGGCTCCATTCATCTGCTAAAAGAAGTATGAACAATTACAAAAACATGGAGAAGGTGCCACAGCAACATCCGCTACAGAATTACAAACCATTGTGCAACACATATCTGAACTTCTGAAGTTCTTGCTTTCAAACTGCTAGGTTGGCAAGAGATGGAACCAGAGACGGGAGCTCACTCCGTCATGCGGCACTCGGGCCTCGAACTGCTGAACTACTGACCTTCCAGCCTGCAGTTCAGTGTCTTAACCGCTTGAGCCACCGCAGCCCTTTCACAAGTGATTAGGCCATCATAAAGCAGGCCTGGCTTGAACTAGGATCCTCTGGTGCCCCAGTTTAGCAGGAGACTTCATTTAGAACTTAAGTTCATTAAGTTAATTTACACGAAACGGGAAGCCCTCATTGAGCATTATCTTTTCCCTACCATCGTCTTCTCAGCGGAATTTCATCGTGTTGGGGTGTGGGAAGGCAAGATCAGTTAATGTTAGCTGAGAACTATTCAGCATCTATAACACCTAGTGTGCCAAAAAAAAGCCGCACAATCTAGGCAGAGATCCCCCCCTTTAAACACTTCCTTTGTGTAGAAAGAGGTATATCAAGCAGTTAGTGGGACATTGGGTTTGGATGTGAAATGTGTTTCAAGAGGATGGAGAAAGTCTGGATACACAGGGCAATAAGCCACTTCCTAACGATTCCAACAAAACAAGCTCTATCAGTTTCTCAGGTTCTCCTGTAGACACCATTGCTACTTTCAGGCACCAGATCAAGGTACCATTTCCTTTCCAGTCTCACTGACCAAGAGGCAACAGATAACATGGATGTCAGAATCAATGCAACATATTTTAGTGCAACGAACAAGAGAAGAATGTGCTTGCAACATATCAGCAGGGCCGGCCCCAGCTTATTTTGCACCCTAGGTGAGGATCCCTTCTGGCGCCCCCCCCCCCCCGCGCCCACCATTTTTCAAAAATAAATGCAATTTTGGAAGAATGAAAAACACAAATAATCAAGAAACTCTCAGAGTACGGGGCTAGGTGCAGTTTGGCGCCCCTGAGGGCCAGCCCGCTCTAGGCGATCGCCTAGTTTGCCTAGTGAGTGAGCCGGCCCTGAACATATGACATATTGTCACTAAGTGTTACAAGGATTGCTTCCCACCCCTCACTAATGCTAAAAAGATGTAGTTGGCTGGACAATAATCAAATAATCCTGTTGAAAGTTCACAGTGAATTAGTAAGTACATCACTCTAAAGAAAAAGTCATTTAAATCAAGTATAACGGTAGCCTCAGGAATGGAATCCATTCCTTTCTGTTGAAATTATTATTGGTCCTTGTAATACAGAAGCTGGTATGACCCACCCATGCATTCATCCTTGGGAAAGGAATCAATTGAAACAGAGCATTTACTGAAACACTAAAGAGACTTCTAATTTGTGTGGGTGAAATGTTTTGAGTATCATCCAGGAGTCTACGTAAGAGTCGTAGGAGTGTATGAAGATTTGACTATTAGTTTTGTAAATATATAAAAAAACAGTTTTTGAAGCATGCAATTAAATATGAGCAACAGGGTATGTGTAAAATTCTTTTCTCTGTGCTTCTTGATTACATTTACTATAAGTACTAGAGACATCTCTTTTGTTCCTGCTTTGTGATGTTGCATTTTGAAACACCTTCCCACAGTTCTCTCTGTGGTGCTTGGGTAGCTCCTGCTTACTCAGCTTCTTGAGTAGAGGCAGCAGCTGCTAGAGACCTGGATCCACAAGAAGAACAGCAGCTTCTGGCTGGCAATGCCTGCTTAATGTACAGAAAGCTAATTTGAAACGTTCTGTTCTGCAGAACACACATACTTCTGGATAAATACTGTGTGAAAAGAACCTTCACAGTCTTCTGTTTGGTCTGCAGGCTTTCGATATCATCCCCCACAATAAAAGCTGTAGTTTTAAAAAATGGTATGATATTAAGCACCTCTAAGTATGACAGGCTTTAATGGCAGCAGCTTAAGCATGCGCTTAGCTCTTCCACTGAAGTCCATGATAGCCTAAACATACATCTTATTGTAGGCTCTACTGTACTGACGGTTGCATCTATTAAGATCTTATGGCTACAAACGTACCTTTATTTCCTCTATATCGGCTGTCTGGAGCTTCTCTCTGAAATGTTTGTCTGTCTCCAGAACATCTATCACTTGCCTGAGGTATGCATCATAATAAAGCCCGGTATCCTTCAATAAAATAAATACCAGTATAGTAAGGAAATGAGGGACGGAGTAAATCAGATGAGATAACATATTTTCATGAGAATGATCACAATAGAAACTTCTGCCAGTTTTCTGCCAGTCCCTCCGTGACTGAAGTAAATTTTACAGCTAGGATTTTTCTACCATTGTCAGGCTTAGTTTGAGCCAAAATTCATTACAGTTTCACCTAAAAGTTCTCCAGCTCTGGAACATGTGAAGTGATAACAAAGAGCTTAGGAGGCAAAAATTAGAGACAGGTTTGTTTCCTGATTCCTCCCTTTTAGGAATAAATCAGTGACAAATTATTATCCTGTTTGCAAATTCTGGGTCAGGTAATTGGGAGTTCTTGCCAAAAGGTGGGGTTCAAGCTGAGACTCCAATTCCCCAAAGAAAATCTTTCTGAAATCCAACAGCCCAGCTGGAGAGTTCTCGATCAGTACTCAGCAAATAGAGTTGCCACGTCCCTTAGGGGGGACTTACCAGGAGAAAGAGGAAGGCCCAGGCCATTTTGGCATCGTCACACAGGAAGTGATGTTATCATGCTGTGACACCACTGTACTGCTCTGGTATCTAGGCAAAAACTCTGTGGTAAAAATGGCTTCTACCAAAGAATTTTTGCCCAAATACCAGAATGCCATTACCAAAGAATTTTTGCCCAAATACCAGAACGCCATCCAGATGTCGCTGGCATGATGACGTCACTTGCAGTGAGATACTGGCTACATGGCCTGGGCCTTCTTCTTTCTCCTGGTAAGTCCCCCCAGCCAGCTGATCAGTGGGGGGGGGCTTGGCAGTGGGGTCCCCTCTTTCATTGGGGAGGCTGGCAACCCTATCAGCAAATTAATACCAAGGTATCACTTGCTGAAGACTGATCATCACTCACCAAGTATAGAAGGTTAGGGTGCATGAAAAGCTGCCCCAAGCCCAATTCAATTCCTCTGCGATGATTCTGGGGCAGAGATCAGCTGAGAATTATCGAAATCGTCTCCTCCACACATACTAAGTAATGCTAGGTATGCAGCTGCCTGCACTCAACAACATGAAAAAGAGCACGGGTACATCAAACCCAAGCCTCACCATCAATATGACCTAAATATTTAAGCTAAAATTGCTGACTGGTAAATAATAATTTTTTTAAAAAATCTATTGAGAATAGGACAGGAAATACAGAACAACTCTTTCTCCTTGCTGATATTCTGGTAAATGTTTAAGTAGTGTCAACATACAGTCTTCCTTAATCTTCTTGTTCTCTAAACTCAGTATACCTAGATACTCCTATACAAACAAGTAATGCTGTCCTCCAGAACAAAAAGTATTAAAAGATTTCCTTGATTCCACTTTCTTATCTCTTTGTCCCCACTATGTCAATAAAACTAGCAGGTCAAAAACAAAAGGACATGGACACAGATCCAGTGTACAACAGGTGGCACTGCCAGTATGACCGTGTTTCTTTCTAATCCAAAAATTACCAATCGCCAATACACTTTTTAGGGTGCTGATGAAAAAGTTACTGCCATTAAGGGGGAAAAATATTTAATTTACTTACGGGATTATCTATTTTTGCACTTTCAACTTGTTCTTCCCCTTGCACTTTTGTCTTGTCTACGTCTATAGGCACAGCTTCCAGTGTGATTACGAGGTACGTCAGCAGCAAAGCACATTGTTGTAATAAACCAGTTCTCCATCTTTTCTGAAATAAAACAGCATCATTTTCAATATTACAGTTTTCATTTATGGCATTCACATTTCACATGACTAAACTCATAACATCAGAAGGACATGGAATTCCTGAAAAGTAAGTGTGTCAGCATGCAAACAGACACGGGAACAATTCCTTCCAAGCAAAAGGGGAGTCTTGGGGGTGCATTCCCATGAAAAAACTACAACATGGAAAAACGAGGCAGCAGTATCACCAAACAATATGAGAGCAGCTGAAGACCAGTAATAGTTATGCCAGGGGTATTTTGGGGCAGGAACGCACAGGAACAGAGTTCCAGCTGGCTCCCGAGTTGGCCACGCCCAGCAGGAACTCATTAGCATAATAGGCCACACCCAACAGCAGAAATTCATTAGGATTGGCTACATTAGGGATGTGTGGCCTAACATACAAAGGAGTTCCTGCTACAAAAAAAAGGCCCTGGGTTTTGACAACAAACAAGGTAAACAGAATAACAAGCAAAAGGTGGGTGTGGCTGGATAACCACACTTCTGGTAACATGAGGGTGCGGCCTAATGTGCTAATGAGCTGTGCTGTCAGGGGTGTGGCCCAATAGGCTAATGAGTTCCTGCTGTTGGGTGTGGCCTATTATGCTAATGAGTTCCTGCTGG